GCTCAACACTGGTAGAGAGAGAGAGAGAGAGAGAGAGAGAGAGAGAGAGAGAGAGAGTCCTAATCAGCTCGGTGCTCAAAAACCAAACTAAGCTTCAGAAAATACAGAATAAATCAGCTTTGTGAGGCATTCCCCCTCTGTGTATTTGTAGATGAATATTCAACTCTATAATCAATGAAAAACAACTTGAACTGATGAGCAAAATATGTTTTTGTTTTGAATTGCAATGAGCTGAGGTATATCTGCATTTTTGTACGTTACATTTTCAAAACGACATCTTATCATTGCTCTGACTGTCAACATTTCTGAAAATCTAGCTCAATATCAGAACTGTCACAGAACTCATCTGCCAGATTTCGTGTTATGTTACTGTGAAAAACCGGAAAAGCTGTGAAATGGCAAGTCGGTGATCTTTCAAGCAGCAAAACTGCATATTTAACAGGGGTTTTAGTCACATTTGATTTATTCTTTCTTATACACACATAGTACAAAATATAGATCATGTTTATTTGTCCTTGATGGTTCCCTTTTAGTGTTGAAACATTAGACATTTTAAATAAAAATGTATCATTGTCTTGTTGTCTCCCCAGGGCCACCCACATGTTTGGAAGACAATGGCAGTAAGTAGTGAATGTAAAAAGTATGACTTATTCATGTACTATTGTTAACCTTTTTATCTTATGAGGGAAATTTCATTTGAAAGAATTCTTAAACTCAATCCTATCTTGTAAGCTGTTTTTAGAGTCAAAAAAAGGTAGTAAATAAAAATTCAATGTCAGAAGCAAAAATTGTACTCGGATGAAATATGAAATGTATGTGTGTGAAAGTCTGTGAGTACTGGTCCTTGTTAATATGGGTGCATCTCCAGGAGATCAACCTAAGTCGATGTGATGTAATGTCTTCTGAGAGTGTGTGTGTGTGTGTGTGTGTGTGTGTGTGTGTGTGTGTGTGTGTGTGTGTGTGTGTGTGTGTGTGTGTGTGTGTGTGTGTGTGTGTGTGTGTGTTACAGTCAGAGATGTTGCTGCAACACCAGTCCAACCCGTGTATCTCGGACTCAGCTGCAAAAACACCACTGGACCTCGCCTGTGAATTTGGACGTGTCACAGTGAGTAGGATAAAAGAAAGAGACATTAAATTACTTTTTACATTTTATGAAACCTTTATTTGACCAGGAAAGCCTCTCTTACAACTGTGTCATACGTTTAGAAGAGATCTTCATCAATTTAACAAAACAATATATAGAATAGTGCATGACGCAACCAAATACAAAAGCAACATAAATTAGAGGCACAACCTCAACCTATGACTTACAGACTCAAAGACACATTAACTGTAGCTTTCAAATCAAACACAATTGCCTGACAACAATAGTATATTATTATTAATAAAAAATAGAGGAATCAACGTTTTGATCAGATTTTTTCACACATTTCCAGAAGGTGTGGTCAGTATATACAATCTTGTTTATGTAATTCACTGCAGACTGTACGAAATGACTCCATTATATGTATATATAATGTTCATATTATGTGTTTATCTGTTTTAAGGTGGTCCAGCTCTTGCTCAGCAGTAACATGTGTGCAGCCATGCTGGAACCAAAGCCCACCGACCCAAACGGAGTGTCACCTCTTCATCTGGCTGCCAAGAACGGACACATCGATGTCATACGGTCTGAAAACCTGTCCCTTTAATATCAGTGTGTGTCTGTCTTCATAATACTCTGCCTGTCAGTCAGTCTGCCCGCTTCACTCACTCATCTAACATGACCCTAACTTCAGGGTCAGGATTGTGTCCAAAAAATCTGTTACGGTCTAAAGCACATTCTGTATGGTTCCACATAATGAAAGTTGTTTTAAGGTTTCTTTGACCTTGAAGTGTTTTTTGTATAGATATTGATTTTACTTTACTGCTGTTATTTGCCATGAGCTGTTGGAGCCATTTTGAGCTTTTGGTTTTATAAAGAGAATATCTAACAGATGTATTTTGAGTTTTGGTGAAAAGTATGATTAATTTAATATATTATTTTAGACATGTTAATGTATATCTATAAACCGTTTTTCATATAATCAAGAACTGATCGTTTTTTTGAATGACAGAATTGCAAGACAATCTGTGTTTGCTGGTTAGATGGTGGAGGAGCAACAATTTTCAGTAAACATTATCTTTCACACAAGTTCACAATATCAGGGCACGTTTTATGCGGATTTTGGATATTATTTTCAGAAAGTCAACTGAATTTCATTGTTCAATAAATCATTTTTTTCGATCATGCTAAGCATCTCTGTGTGTGCCTTTTGGAAATGAGTAACCTCAGATGGCTAAGAGGAGTAAAAGCCTAAGACTAGCCACTTCATAAGCACTTGGATGGAATGATGTTATAAAAGGTGCGTTTACAAATAAAGGTTAACTTTATTATTATTTTGTGCTGCAGGTTGCTGATCCAGGCTGGAATAGATATCAACCGACAGTCTGAGTCTGGCACAGCGCTACATCAGGCAGCCCTCTGTGGGAAGACAGAGGTTGTGCGTCTGCTGCTGGATGTAAGTCCATCTGTCTGTCTCTTTTACATGTTTACATAAGCAACTGTTGTTAAAGCTGCCTCCCTCTCCTCAGCTGAGCAGGTTTTACACCTCAGCACTTGGCATTCATCCCACAGAGCTGTGTGATAAAGCCTGTGGGAAGCTTCTAACATGAAAGTCTAGCAGTATGGCCAGCATCCTACCTGTCCTGCAATATTCAAATTAGCTTTGTTTTGTCTTTTCAACACTTTTGTCGCGTTTTTGATGTTCTTGCAGAGGCACATTTTCCCACTGGGCATCTACACACAGCCAGACTAACACAGAACAATTTCCCATTGCAGCTCTAATCTTGTTTCTTATCCTCTTCCATCCAGAGTGGCATCAGTGCAGGGGTGAGAAACACTCTGAGTCAAACGGCCCTGGACATTGTTAACCAATTCACCACAACACAGGCCAGTCGAGAGATCAAACAACTACTGAGAGGTGAGTACCACCGGGAATAACACTCAATTTAGTCTCACAATCCAATTCCATGTAATACCACGGCTGGAATCGTCAAAATGGATACAGATAATTTATTGTAGAAATTATTAATTTAGTATGATGTATGGGGAGAGCCTTGTGTCTTGATTAAACAGTCCTTTTTTTCCACACATGTAAAACTCTCTGCTGATTGTCCTCTACTCAACTCCACTGCTCACTCTGTATTCTGCCCGTAGATGCCTCGGCTGCGATGCAGGTGCGTGCTCTGAAGGATTACTGCAACAACTACGACCTGACCAGCCTCAACATCAAAAATGGAGACATTATCACGGTACATAGATCTGATAAAAATGTTTTAAACATAGATGTAGCCAACTCTAGTTAGGGTCTATTATGCTTTTTCGGGCTTTCCCTTCCCTGTACTGTGATATAGGTTATTGTGCAAATGCTTCCATTGGACTCCTTTGTTTACTTCAGTAACATAGTGAAATCACTATGCAAGACTTGCGCTGCTATTGGTTAGCGCTCCTACACATTGTACGTGATAGGGTAAGGGATGGGACATTTTGAATCATTTGAGCAATCAGAGCAGACTCTGTTTCAGAAAGAGGGTGAAAAGAGGTGCTGCAGCACAGGCAGTATGAGAAAAATAAATACATTTTTTAAATGAAAACATGTCCCAGTAGAAGCACCAAATACAAATATGAACCTGAAAATGTGCTTAATATGTCCTCTTTACAAAACTGTAAACAGGATTTGATCATATTTTTGTAAACTGTTGTTTGTTTGCAGGTTTTGGAGCAGCACTCTGACGGCCGATGGAAAGGCTGCATACATGACAACCGCACAGGAAATGACCGTGTGGGCTACTTTCCCTCCAACATGGTGGAAGTCATCAAGAGGGCAGGTGACCACCCACATCACAGCTGTATGTGTGTTGGTGTGTGTGTGGGTGGGTGATGTGTGGGTGGGTGATGTGTGGGTGGGTGATGTGTGTGTGTGTGTGCTTCGCATGTGTGTGAGTTCAGCAGCTGACCATTATAGCTGTAGCATCATCAGCCTTTTTAGGCTGTTTTTTCCCAACCTGTCAAACATCTCCATTGATCAATCCTTTCCCCTATTGGCTGTCACCCTCACCCCTCTATATCTCTAATCCTTCTGTCACACCCCCCTCCCCCCCTTAAAAAGCCTGTCAAGCCCAACCCGCTCTGCTTGATTATTATGCTTTTGTTCATATTGTTTGTTTGCTTTGTTGTTATAGTTGTTTAGTATTTACATGTATAGAGATATATTCCCTGTGGATATATAGATGTTTTAATTCCTCATATTTTGATTTCAATCAGTTATTATTTCATAAATTTTCATATCTGATTAGATTTGTTTTCGTTTCAAGTTGACTGATCAGTTGTTATTGTTGTGTTATTGTTGTTTTGCACCTCCCTCCTCCTGGCTCGTGTCCAGGTCACTCCCCCTCCCTGCAGTGCCACACCCTCCTGCTCCGCAGGGCCAACCCCTGTCCCATTGCCGCCGTCAACGGAAACTCATACCCCCCCTCCAAAGTCCTCCCCCTGCATCTGCCTCCCCCTCCTCTAAACCCCGACACACAATCCCTCGCTCGTTTCTCCTCCTTTGGGTACGTTCCTTTTCCCATCTCTCCTCCTTCTCTATCCACTTCTCACCCTCCGCCTCCGCCTCCTCCTCTTCCTCCTCCCCCTCCTTTCTCCACTTCTCCGGAGCAGCAGAGTCAAAAAGGTACTGCTGTTTACCTTTTGACAAAACCACATATAGCATATAGAATATATCTGCTAGTTCCAGCACCTGTATATATACAGTATATATACTGTGTGTGCGTGAGAGAGAGTGTGTGTGTGTGTGTGTGTGTGTGTGTGTGTGTGTGTGTGTGTGTGTGTGTGTGTGTGTGTGTGTGTGTGTGTGTGTGTGTGTGTGTGTGTGACAGGCTCACGGACAGCAGAGCAGAGTCCTCAGGGCTCTCCAACTCTGGGACATCCGAGTGGGGCCAATGAGGACATCTGGGTGCTGCGCAGACCGCTGGCAGGTAAACTCAATGTGAATATTTATCTCAGGCATGCTGCATCATGCAATATGCATGTCTGTGGTGGTGTATGTAGAACTAGAAGATATTTCACTTAAGTTATAGTAGAAATAGCACCTAGTTTGTGACAAGTCTAATCAGTTATCCTCCATTACTGGTGTTTGCGTGTGAAGGTGGCGAGCGCAGTGGCAGTGTTGGCAGCCTCGGCAGTGTTCGCTCCACCAGCAGCTTGCAGAGCTCTGGGAACACACACGTTCTGACCACCCCGGCCCCAAGTCCACTGCCCGCACACACACCGGGGGTCAACACACACGGCCTTAACGCCCCGGGCCTGCATGCACAATCTGAAGGAGTGAAGGTAAGACAAGACGTTTTATTTTTAGCGTGTGTGTTTTCATGTGCTTCCATCACATTGCTTCTGGATCTTTACAAAAACAAGCATGTCGTTTCTGGGAAACAGCAAAACATTTCCAGGAAACAAACACTAGTTACCTGGTTAACCACAACTCTGTTTCCTGTTTACTTTGTTCTTTCGTTGAAATCATTCATTTTCAGTTTCATTAAGATGGTGATCTCCTGGTTTGTCCTTTTTACGGAGTACGCAGTTAAATAAGCCTCCAAATGCCAAAACAAATCATGCATGCATGGCTGAACTGTAACATACTGTATCTAACATACTAAATTAAATCTATATTTATTGAAAATGTTTAAACCTTATACTATTGTTTGTAGTTCGTATGATTTGGGTCTGATATTTCAAGCCTTTATTTAATCAGATGAATCCCATTGAGATCATTGATCTCTTTTTCAAGGGAGACCTGCTCAAGTAGTTCCACATGAAACATAGAAACATAGACAGAACAACAAGGACATCAGTACAGCATCATTTACATTATTATCCACAGAAACAGGTACCAATAGCTTCCGATTGAGTAGCATCCAACCAAGCTTTAAAAACATTTAGTGGCACCAGATTGCTCAGCTTCCATTCCTTTTGCAGACTATTCCAAGACAGAGGAGCTACGCATCTAAAAGCTGTCTTCCCTAAGACAGTCCTAGCAGTTGGCACATTTAATAAAACCACAGCATTTGATCTCAGGCAGTAGCCACTTACAATTTTCCGTGAGATCAGGGAGCAGATATAAGATGGAAGTTTCCCTAACATGGCTTTGTATATAAAAATGTTCCAGTGACTGAGCCTCCGTACAGTTAATGAAAGCAAACCAGCCCTTGCATACAGGGTACAGTGATGTGTTAATGCTTTACAATTTGTCACAAATCTTAGAGCACTGTGATACGCAGCATCTAACTTGACCAGGCAATTGGCAGGTGCATTCATATACATCAGATCACCATAGTCCAGCACAGGTAAAAAGGTCACAGTGAATAGCCTTTTCCTGGCCTCAAGCGAGAAACAGGACTTGTTCCTGTAGAAGAAACCTAGCCTAACCCTCTGCTTTTTAAGCAGGTTTTTTACATGAAGTTTAAAAGTGAGAAAATCATCAGATACCAAGGTATTTGTAACAGGTAACCACTTCAAGTTTTATTCCTTGCGTAGTTACAATATCTAAAACAGGCTCTGGTGTCTTTTTAGCTTTAGAAAAGAGCATTACCTTGGTTTTATCAACATTTAAAAGAAGCTTTAGTTCAGAGAGCTGAGTCTGAATAATGTTAAAAACAGCCTGTAATTTAACACCAGCCTCCTTAATGGAGGGACCTGCACAGTACATCACGGTATCATCCGCATAAAAATGTAAAGTTGCTTCATCGACATTTTCACCTAAACTGTTGATGTAGATGGAGAATAAAAGTGGACCTAAAACAGAACCTTGGGGAACACCATTTGCAATGTTCAACCACTCAGAAGACAGCCCATCAAAATGAACACATTGGGACCTTTCAGAGAGGTAGTTCACAAA